AGGATTAAATATTATAAATTGGCGTTGAAAAGCAAAAGTAAGAAAATTTTTAAATACATATGTACCACAAATGTATCACAAATTTAAATTAAAAATGAAAAAGAAAACTCTTTTACACAAATGTAAATATATTAATGAATTATGGTATATTTGAAATAATTTATCTAATAAAAAAGAAGTGCATTTTTTATTTAACAATTTATTTACAATTTTGAAATATATATTTATTCTTGCTATACGTCAATTTCTTCGCAATCTTTCCTAGCTTACTCATGCATCCGTGGTCCTATGGCTTAACACTAGAACACTAGAATTATCAAAGCGGTCAAAATGACCGGTTTATTCATTTTAGAATAATTATTTAAATTTATAATGTATTTTTTGAGATTTTTTTCTGTGACTTGTGTTGCATTGTGTTAAATAATTAAATTGATTAATGTACTTTTTCTCTTTATCACCTTTTAAAAAGAAAGAAAAAGAAATAAAAATTGGTATATGTTAATCGTCGGTAGTTCTAGTGTTGATCCCATGGTTGAGCGCGGAAATTCGAAATTCGTGGTCCCGTCGATGATGGTCGAGCACAGATCTCGAAACAACGTTGATACGATCGATCATTGAATAATGATCGACTATCAACAAAATTTCGGACGCAACTAGCGGAAACTGAGCTGAGCTCTGCGCTAGCGTCTTGTGAGAAACACCAAGGTAGTAGCTCTCAGATTTTGGATGCAAATAGCGGTAACTGAGCCAAGCTCTGCGCTAAAGCATCCTGCGGAAAACTCCCTCCCGAAATTCAGATGCAAATAGCGGTAACTGAGCCGAGCTCTGCGCTAAAGCATCCTGCGGAAAACTTCCTCCCGAAATTCAGATGCAAATGGCGGTAACTGAGCCGAGCTCTGCGCTAAAGCATCCTGCGGAAAATTTTTTGTACGAACTCTTAGGTATAGAATTTCTAATTAGGTAGGATTTTCTACTAGATAAAGTTTTTGGGTAGGTAGGTAGGATTTTAAAACTTCTTATCACTTCTATATTGTATTTTTTTTTTAATTCTTTGCTGTCGATAAAGTTTGGAACTTCTGCTTTGGCAGTTAATTTGTAGTTTATTGATGACAAAAATAATGATAAAACTTCGGGTGGGCAAACAGCAAGATTCTCTTTCAAAAAACGAAAGATGTTTCTTGCGTAAATTATGAAAAAGTTTGAACGTTTAGACGTTTAAATGTTTAGATTAATAAATTTCACTAATAAAATATTACTACTTTTTGAATTATAAGAGATACTTTCGATTATAAATTAAAAATTGTATTGTTCAGCTCTTTTTAACTAAAGTATTTTGCATTATACATAAAACTTTTGAACGTTTAAATGATTTTATTGACATATTATTGACATATTGACATATTATTTTCATTTTGTATTATCTTGTATATCATTTCGATGGAATACAGGATAATATATTAAGAAAAATTGTAATAAGCTAAATATCCCAATGGCTGGATATGTCTCAATCTCCGAAAATATATGAACAAAATAATTTTTAATATTCATAAATATAATGTCCGGAAACTGTGGTAAATTTACGTATCCAATTTATTTTTTGCAAATATTTAATATTGTCGTTTAATAAATGCAAATTTTGGTTTTAAATTTCCGCGAAGTAAATTTTAATCTTTATTATATAATATTAAAAATATTATTTTCATAGAAAACATCACATCTTTCATAATAATTAATTCTTAAATATATTGCCACTGGAACATTTCTCTTAAATATTGTAAACTTGTAAAAATCTTTTTCTCATTTGTACAAAATATTGTATTAATATATTGTATATTATATTGTATATTATATATTATATTATATAATTGTATATTATATTACATATACATGTATGTATATCATATTATTGCATCTGTATGCAGCATTGTTGTATATATTTCTTCTTCATTGTGTATATGTTTTCTGAATTTAATATTATTTATTGTATACTATTATTATATTGTATTTGGTTTTATTAAAATCTTTTCTCGACAAACAATGTATTTTATTTCACAACATTCTTTAAATTCTCTTTCCATTGAAAGAAAGAAAATGATTGTACCAGAGAAAAACCTGAGAGGGGCCACGCTGCCGTTTTTCATAAGACGTTTTTTCTAGGCCGTACACTAGCGGCGCGTACATCCATTTTACAGCCTGCCTGGAACTACATGGCCACATCCATTTTCCGGGATGATAAAAGAGGCCTGGTTGGTTCATGTACGTGTTACATCCATTTTCCGGTATGGTAAGAGTCATGGTTGGTTCATGTCCGTGTTACATCCACAATTTATTAAAACAGAAATACGTCTTGCATATAGATATAATTTATATATATACAATTTATATAGATACAATTATATATAGATACAATTATATAGATACAATTTATAACATATAGATATAATTTACATCTATATGCGAGACGTATTTCTGTTCAATAAATTGTGGATGTAACACAGACATGAACCAACCAGGGCTCTTTTATCATCCCGGAAAATGGATGTGGCCATGTAGTTCCAGACAGGCTGTAAAATGGATGTACGCACCGCTAGTGTAAAGCCTAGAACACGGTGTAAGAATCATAGATATATTATATATAGATAGAGCTTTGTGAATCTTACGCCTGCCAAGATAAAATTATCTTTTCCTCCCTCGCGCATGTGCAATCACGCATTTATCTTCAAAAAACAAGTGTTTATCCATGACAGCCAAGGATATAACCTAATTTTATGTAAAAGTGCTGTATCTGCCGAGATAAATATACGAATGCGCATGCGCAAAGGAGGAAAAACCGTCATTATCTTGGCAGGTGTTGCATTATAGCAAAAATGGTACAAAGCTCTATCTATATGTAATATATCTATGGTAAGAATATAAGGTGATTTCACGGCAACAAATTTTTGTGATTTTCCTGTCATTGTTCCACATTGAACCGCTAGGTGGCTACGTGTTGAGGGACTTTAAATATATATATAAATTTTATTAAAATTTTATTGTCCTGCGGAACTTAATTATAAATATTCATTTTCTTAAAGAAACTTAATTTTTTATAAAGACTGGAATACATTATTAATTATTTTTTCTGCAAATTTAACTAAAAATAATTTGTTATAAAAAATTAAAAAATATGTTGTCAGTAATATATATTTTTATACACAATGTTAAAAGTTTTATTTTAAAAAATTTGTATTATTTAGGACTATAATTATATATAGATGTGCTTTAGAGATTCATCATCTATCCTTTTCTATCCACATCTATCCATATCTTCTATTCTTTTTTACTTGGGATTTTGCACCAACGTGACATCTTGTGTGACATGCTTTAACTATGACATCTTGATCACAGATTTTTTGATAGAATACAATGGTCGTGAAATCACCTTATATTCTTACACCGTGGCCTAGAAAAAGCGTCTTACGAAAAACGGCAGCGTGGCCCCTCTCAGGTTTCTCTCTGATAACATACGCAGGTGATGTAACAAATTTTTTTCAAGATGAAGTCCTTAAGGCTTATTCCGACAATCCTACATATTGCATAAAAAAAAATTCAACCAATCACAGTTTATAATTTAAAAAGACAACAATATGGCATTCTTTCATGAAGCATACGATTGATCAATTTTTCTATGCATATTTCTTGCGAAAATTTATATGAATAATCCTTTAAGTAAAATCGAATATATCCGAAATACGCCGGAATCCCGAACTTTGCCGAAGCGCTTGTAAACAGGCACGTGGTGCGTTTCGTTCTAAAGGTATGTGTTTTCCACTTTCTTTGCACTTAAACTGCAATAGATATATTTAGGAAAAAAGGAGAAGATAAATAAGGTGTAAAAGCAGATATCTACATGTGTGCTTACACACAGCGGGCTAACCAAGGTAAATACATGTTTCTCTCTTTGTATACCTGCTTGACAGAAGTTTTTTTGAAGAATATTCGAACATTTTTCGCGAGCGACGAAACAAAACGGTGATATTAAAATTATTTTTACACCCAATCGAATCACTATCTTGACTTGCAATAGATTGAAATGTTTATTAATTCAATAATCTGATAAAACTGGAATTGGAAAAAAATTTTAATCGCTATCGTTTCGCTTAGATGATGATATAATTTTTTATTGACGTTTCGTATGTGAACACAGTTGTGTTTTATCTTTAAATTAAACCAATATCACTTTTACAATACGTATAAACTTAAAAAGTTTTTAGAGATCAACATACATTATTATTCTCTCTATTCAAGGAAAAAGTTTTTGGGCTATTTCAAAATATTATCTTGGTAATTATTCTGAAAGTGTGTGATTATGCCTCGCACAAAGAGAACTAGAGCAAAAAGCGAAGATTCACAAAATGCAAAAAAGTTTAAACGTTCAAGCTCAAATACCTTAGATTATGTAACTCAGATACAGACAACTTTAAACATTAAACAAAATACAGAAGAAGATAAAGATACATTGGAAGAAAAAAATACAGAAGAAAATAGAAGTACACTTGAACAAAAGAATTCAAAAAAAGATGAAAATAAAATTGAACAGACATCTACAGAAGATGCAATTGAGCACATATCTGCAGTATCTACATCTATTTCCGATAAATTATTATCAATTGAACAAAAGCTTTGTGCTAAATTGCAAAATATTACTTTTCCCTCATCAGTACAATATATTTACAATCCACTTGAGTATGCATTTGAAACACATGCTATGTATGTACGCAAGTATTGTACTGGTGTAAAAAAGATCTTGTTTGTTGGCATGAATCCTGGACCATGGGGCATGTCACAAACTGGTGTACCATTTGGAGAAATAAGCATGGTGCGCGACTGGCTTAAAATTTCTGGTCCTGTTGGACATCCATCAAAAGAACATTCTGATCGAAAAGTAATGGGATTCCAATGCACACGTAGCGAGATTAGTGGATTGAGATTATGGGGCTTGTTCAAAGAATTATGTGGAAGTCCGGAGAACTTTTTCGAACATGCATACATACATAATTATTGCCCCCTTGCATTCATGGATGTTAAAGCACGAAACATTACACCAGCAGAATTAAAGGCAATATTTATCTTACTATGTTTCTTTTTTCTTATGCTGAACTATCTATATTTTTCAGGGTGAAGGACAAAACATTTTACATGAGGCATGTGACAGATCTTTGATAGATATAATACAACTCTTGAAAGCAGAGATCATTATTGGCATTGGCAATTATGCAGAAAAAAGAATACAACTTGCAGTACAGACAGCAGGTCTTTCAGTAGAGGTAATGTATATATATTTATACAACATGTTATAATAGTATCTCATCTCAATATTTACTAACTTTTATAATGATTTTCTCAGGTAATGGTATTGCGACATCCCAGTCCAAGAGCTGTGGGTAACAATAATTGGAAAGAAATAGCTAAGCAGCGATTAGAAGAATTGGGACTGCTTAAATATTTTGAAACAGCAAGTACTATTGCCTAAATTCTCTTGCGCAAAATACAACCATTATTTTAAAAGTATAAACTCATAAAATTCTTTTTATTTTTTTACTTAAAACAATAGCTATGTTTTTTTACAATATTTAATTCGTGAAAAATTAAAATTGTAAAACTTTATATAGTTTTAAAAATTATTTTTGTCATGTGTCTTTATACATGCAATAAATAAGATTTATTGCATGTATGATATTTAATATTTAATGATATCTGTTATGGACGTTTCGGCATGGATGGACGTTGCATTACAAAAGGCTGAAGAGTCTTTGAGAGCTGGTGAAGTTCCAGTAGGCTGTTTATTTATATATGATAATGAAGTAATTGCAACAGGCAATAATACAGTGAATGAAACTTGTAATGCAACTCGCCATGCAGAGATAAACTGCATCGATCAGGTCTTAAAGTTCTGTGAGGAAAAACGCGTGGACTATGAAACAGTATTTCGTAATCTAGATGTAATTGTCACAGTAGAACCGTGCATAATGTGTATGTCAGCATTACTTCAGCTACAAGTACGCAGTGTTGTATATGGCTGTGCGAACGATCGGTTCGGTGGTTGCATCAGCGTTCTCGAGATACCAAAATTTTACGACCCGAAAATAGTGATACAGGGAAATGTTAAGGGAGAGGAGGCCATGAGATTGCTTAAAGATTTTTACAAAGGTGTCAATCCAAATGCGCCCGAGTCAAAAATTAAAAAGGGACGTAAAACGAAAGGAACAGAAAGTGAATAATTCTTCTTGTGTTAGTTATCTGATTATACGTACAACTTTTTTTTACTATAATACGCTATTTAGCGTGCCGCTTAATTGTGATAAGCTGGAGTCTTTTTATAACCATTTGTATTCTAAATGTACAATGTACAAATAGAATAGTGATGTTAATATTAAATATCAATATCCGCGCGTTTTTACTTTACATAGACTTATTGGTTTCTTTTTTATTTCATAATGTTCCTACTTATCTCATATTATATACATAATTTTATACATATCTAAGATATAAATATTCAATGTTACATAAACTTTCACACGATACACTTTTGATTCATTATATGCCGTCAATTACACCATGCCTTATCCACTTCGCACTTTCCTTGATACCATCTAATAAGTAATTGATTCCGCAGTGTGTAATCCTTCAGCACCATATCTCTCGTCTGCAAAAATACATTTGATTAGAATTGAAGTTACAAATACACGTGGTAAATTTATGTTGCTTACTATTGGAGGCGGAAAGATTCTTTGGAAATCCATCTTGTTTTGATGCTCAAGATAGCTCTGCGACAAAATAAGCCTTGTTTCCGGCATGAAACACGGTCTGCACAACTGGCATTCTACACGAAAACAATCGTCACATTCCTTGCAGAGTTCAGGCAACACCACGATATTCTTGTTTGCTATTTCCATTTCTTCCTCCGCTTTATTTCTGTAACATTGATATACCAATAATCTAAGTAACTATTATACATTTTTTAGGTGGCTAGCTCCAAAATACAAGTTTCTATATCAATTTTCTAAAAATCACAATAACTTTATGCAATGTTTACCTCGCTTTTAAAGATCCTTTTCTAGTTCTCTTGCCGATGCCGACCAGCGCAAACGTATTGAATATGACCTGCTCGTAGAGCAACTGATTCGGCGGGTAATGTGCAGAGGATAAATTCGGTGACATATTTGCCTCCATCATGTAAACGTTCAGGTCTTCATCAAGAGCTAAATCGAATCTCACGAGTTCAAAGAAGTTCCTACCGTTGCCGAAGCGTTTAGAAACCTCTCTTATCTGCGACTCTTTTAACAGAGCGACTTCGCGGATGGCATCGTACACTCGCTCCCACATTTCTGCTGGATTCTGTCCCTGTTCTCTGACATATGCATCGAACGAATCCTTCATCGAGTGTCCGAGCTCGACGTAGTATTTCTTCAAGGACGGCACATTCCAGATTGGCAAATAATCATCACCGACTACATACTTATCCAGAATCTCTGGATCGAATGGATAGTATTTGACTGGACAGAAACGGAACAAGACGTCACCCTTGTAAACGTACACCCTCAGCGGGTCTACAGACGTGATGACGGTGTATACACCAATATCAAATTTGTAGCCGTCCACAAGAAACGGTCGCTGTATGAATTCCTGAATAAATGTGCCAGCAGTGAAGTTTGCGTCGTTGCTGCCATGAATACGGATGCCTCGATGATCGTTTAATTTCTGTACAAACTGCTTCGCAGGATTCGACTTGGCGTAATCAAGGAAAGCCTGTCGATCCTCGGGCATCTTGAAGGCCGCCGGTATGTATCGACCTCCACGTGTTGTCGACAAGTCCACCTTGTTTGTGATATAGCCGCAACCAGGAAAGTGATTGACTATCTGATGCTCCCGTAATCTACTCAAACTTGCAGACAATGCTCGAAACGGATAATCGTGAGCCCATAATAGATCCCAGTCAGATTTGTTGTTACTTTCCTGGAAACCAAGTCGTTGGAGTACTGCATACACATGCTTCAGGTAACCGGTGTCATTACTTTTAGCGTAAATCCAAAACTTTGGTCGAGCCTCCTTTATTGCTATCGGTCTCTCAAACAAGTGTGTCACGTATGTTTGATAATTCAAATATACAAAAAACATGCCGTAAAAAATCAATGGACCCACTATAGAAGATAGAATAATTTTCAAAAGAGTCTTCATCTTCAGATTTGTTATTTTTTTTCCTAAACTGTATTGTGTTTTCTGTAACAACATTATTAATCGGATTAAATTTATTAATTTAAATTAATTATTCTAAATTATATTAAACAAATCTAAATTAAATTTAACAAATATAAATTAAGTTAATTTAATTTGTTAAATTTAATTACAAGGATAAATGACCGAATAAAAAAAATTAAGTACTTTACTAAACTTATATTTTGATAAACATTTAAATATAAAGATTAAACTGTAAACCATTGTTAAATCTTCAATTAATTGATTAAACTTTACTTCCAACTTGTCAAACAATTTTGTCGCATACAAAACTTGAGTTTATTTTCGATGTATATAATAATAAAAATAATTTTTAAATATTTTATGTCTTACATACCTTTTTAGTTTGCTCTTTTCCATGTTTCTTTTCTTCTGACATAGTAATTTTGATTTAAGTAGGACTAGAGGTAATTTGGTTGTCCATTCCACAGCGAGTTTACATTTGAACAATGAAATACATCGTGTGAAAGTACCGTTGCAACTTATCCCCGCTTCACTAACTGCCTTCCATGTGAGAGCCATTGAAAAACCGGTTTCTCTTTACGTGACCAAAATCTACATCACAAATTCAATATAATTACTAACAGAAATAAATGTGATTAAATTTTTCTATTATAGTAATAGTAGCTATTTATAGATGATGTATATAATTATAAAATGATGTATATAATTATAAAATTATCCTTAAATGTATTTATATGTGGATTTTGGATATAAACATTATAAGTTTGATGACTCTATATTACATTTTAATAATTTTTTAAATTTTGTAATGTAATATTATATATTTTAAATACATAATATTAATCTCAATTTGAAAATATATAAATGAATATATATATAAATCTCAATTTTTTTAAATTTGATTATTTATAATAATATTCTTACATGTCATTATCATTAAAATATAAAATTTTATTTTTTTTCTATTATTTTTTACTTATATTTGTGGTAGTCAAACATGTTGCAATGTATATTATAATATTTATTTGTTTTATTTACGAAAATTTATATCCTAAGTTATAAATTTTTAACTTAAAATTTTTTAATAATGCCAAAGTAAGATAGTATAAGAAAATATAAAGATCAAGTTCAGATTTAAAAAATTTCAAAATTTTAAAGGTTGACATAACATATAAAATTAAAAATTCATTAACTTTTTCGAGATTTATAAATAAATTTAATGTATAAATGTTAATATTCGTAATAAATTAGAAAGCAGTAAGCATAATAAATTAATAAACTTCTATTATCATCTTCTTTTACTTACGGTGAGTACGATATTGTGTATTTGATTTTTATCTAATCTTTTTTAAAACATTACTTATTGTCATGACGAATCTAACCAAATCTAAGAATATTGCTTATTGTAAACAAAACATATTTATGCAACTAGAAACTAAGCTAGTTTACAAATACTTGCATAGGATTTTTTCAAGTGTAACAACTTAACAATTGGAAACACTGATCGAATTTGTTCCTCCATTTTCTATTCACTTCCCGTCTTTTACGCCTGCAGCTTGTTGCAAGAAAGACATAGCGACACGTGCAAACATGGGTTTCCAAAATATTTGGTACTCGCATCCGCGAAAATATGGTCAAGGATCAAGATCCTGGTTAGTATAACATTCTTCTTTTCGCTTTAATTTGATTAATTAATTTACACAACATGCAAAATAAATAAATGAACTTAATCACATGGCGTTACCACGGAACATCTATATGTAATAAATCGTAAAAAATTTAATTTTGATTGTTAAGTCGTAAAAGCTTTATCGATTTTTATAAAAAACTTTACTTAAAGCAATAAAATTGATAATTATATACATATTAATATATCTAATATTATTAGTATCGGTAGATATATATCCTAACCTAAAAATATCAATTTGACAATGAGGTTATGTTATTAAGTAATTGCTTTAGTCTCTGCATTTTTTATATATATATATAGAATAATGTTATACACATATATATGTATATAAAATAAATGTTTATATTGAGCTGAACGATATTGATTTTGTTGCAGCCGTGCTTGTGCAAATAGGCATGGACTTATCCGCAAATATGGCTTGAATATTTGTCGGCAGTGTTTCAGAGAATATGCAGCTGACATTGGATTTAAGAAGGTAAATTTTAATAATATTTGTTGTGCATTATAAAACGTCAATTCTTGCAGTTAAATAATGTTTTTTTTGTTTTACAGCTGGATTAAATACAATGTAGAACTAATGCAAATAATTTATCGTCCAATCTGTATAATTTCAACATTTGCAAGAACATCCTGCAACAATAAAAATTGACAATTGAAGGTTATAACACTGATATTCAATATGTTTTGAAAATAAACATTTACATTTATGTCATCCTGTATCATTTTTACATTTTTTTCACAGATACAAAAATAAATTATTGTCACTTTACATGTCAAGGTACAATTGCATAAGAAGCAATCTATTAATCTATTGCTATTAAAAGGTGAAATATGCTATTGTTAATATTAAATAAGATATACTATTGTTAAAATTTATTAAAAATACAAAATAAGAAAAATCATAAAGGAATGAAAAAATTCATGTTATGATTAACTATATTTAGAAGTGTTATAGTGATGAGTAACAATTGCTTATATATGATATATTCTTTAAAATTTATCAATTAGATTTGCTTTTTCAAAAAGCAATTATTTAATCATACTTTCTAAATGTATCTACAATTGCAACAACTACAGAAAAATCAGTTGGTAGCACTGTGTACAGTAATGGCGGGGATTCATATTGGTTACGTTTGATGCGGCGATATTGTGCGTATCTTTCGCACTCACAAATATCGCGTATCAATTGTGACACATGGAGAGGACGATGTCAGAACAAATGGCTTCGCAAACGCACACGGAAACAATCTCTGAAAATGATATCACCGATTCTGGATCGCAGGTATGCACATTTGTCATCTCCCCTCCAATTACATGATTTTGTCGCTCAGTGACGTGATAGTGTTTATTACAAGGTAGAAGAGAATAATGCGTTATTTATAGACTGCATAGTATGGTTGACGGCACGTTAAATACACAATAATAAAAAATGGACTGATTGTCATTCTTATCATTCTTATCATTTTGTGATGTGATACTTTCTCAGCATTCTGAAGCACCAAAACATCCGTTAACAATCATATAAATATTGTATTCGTCATCGCGACATATTACAAATTATTTCCAATTATTTGAAGAATTTTAATATGATGCGTAGCGTATTTATGTTTTACATGCGAAAGCGCACAGCGAGTGAAAAATTTCTCATTAGCGATCTAAAGAAATGCAAACGTGAGTTTTGTACGACAGTCGAAGATAATCGTTCACCGTTGAATGGAATAAGAGTTCTGGATTTGACACGTATAGTAGCTGGTCCGTATTGCACGATGATCTTAGGAGATCTTGGTGCAGAGATCTTGAAGATTGAACGACCTGGTGGCGGTGATGAAGCTCGCAAATGGGGTCCTCCGTTCTTTAAAGGAACTCAAGAATCAACTTATTTCATGAGTGTAAATAGAAACAAAAAAAGTGTTTGTATTGATTTAAAAAGGGGTAAAAACATTATTTATGAATTAGTACAAACATGTGATATTTTAGTGGAAAATTATGTGCCAGGAAAATTGAGTAGTATAGGCTTAGGATACGAAGACATAGCCAAGATAGCACCAAGTCTTATATATTGCTCATTAACTGGCTATGGATCACAAGGACCTTATGCAAGTAGACCTGGTTATGATGTCATTGCCGCTTCCTTAGGAGGACTTCTACATATTACTGGACCTAAAGATGGACCACCGTGCAAAGTTGGCGTAGCAATGACAGATTTAGCAACAGGTCTATATGCTCATGGAGCAATTATGGCAGCTCTATTACAAAGAACAAAAACTAATCAAGGCCAGTGGATACAATGCAATCTATTATCGACTCAAATTGCAAGCCTGATAAATATTGCTTCAAATTACTTAAATGGAAATAAAGACGGAGCACGATGGGGCTCTGAACATGAGAGTATAGTTCCTTATGAAGCTTTTCCAACTGAAAATGGATATATGACAGTTGGAGCAGGAAGTGACTTGCATTTTCTAGAATTAATTAAAAGATTACAACTACCAGAACTTGCTAGTAATGATAAATTTAAAAACAATGTAGCTAGAGTCAAAAATAGAACTGAATTGCTTCAAATTCTTCGAGATGTGTTTAAAAAGAAGACAAATCAAGAATGGTCTATGATATTTGAAGGTGCTTCGTTTCCTTATGGAGCAGTAAATACTATAAAAGAGGTAAGTTAATTAATTTGACATAATTTCAGTCATGTATATTATTAGAAGTCTATAAGTTTAACTTGATAACTTTATAATTTTCTTTATGTAACTTTATGTAACTTTATGTAATTTTCAGGTGTTTGATGATCCCCATGTGAAATATACAAAATTGGTTCAAGAAGTGGACCACCCAATTGCAGGCAAAGTAAAACTCGTTGGACCAGCTGTGACATATAGTTACGCTAGCAATATAGTGAGATCGGCACCACCGGCGTTGGGACAACACACATCAGAAGTTTTAAAAAATATATTAAATTATTCTGATGATAAAATAAAAAATTTAATAACACAAAAAATTGTACAATAATTAAGGAATATGTATCCAATTTCTAAAACATTTTAAAATAAATCATAATTTTACAATCAAGTTTTTAAAAATGTTTTATCAAGGCTTTAAAAATTTATAAACTGTATGAGAAAGCAAAAATTGAAATTAGAGAATTTTGATAAATATCGTTTTGAAAATAAAATAGTGAATATGAGTATTATATATTAAGATGTATTTTATATTATTAATTTTAAGATGAATTAAAGTTATATTGATTTATAATTAATAGTAAATAATTCATATAAATATATCATATAAATATATTATTTTCATATATATCCTTTTATGTAATAAATAAAAACGAATGGCATTTTATTGTCTTTATAATAAAAAGTTTCTCAACCATTTGTATTATGATAAATTTCTCCTCTATAATCTGTATTATTTAAAATGATTAATGATTAGTTTTATTATATTACTGAAATTTTCATAATTTTATTTTACAGGACGTGCCTACTGTACGATTACGATTACGAAAACCAAAATCAAATAAAAAAGTTCAATGGACTCAGGGGACTGTTGATAACGAACATTTAAATAAGAAGAAATCAAAATGTATGTATTTAATATTTTCTGTACAACTATTTAGATTTGTGGAACAAAAGTTATATATGCTTTTTCATTTACAGGTTGTTGTATTTACGAGAAACCAAAAACCTTTGGTGAAAGTAGTTCTGAAGATAGTGATGATGAATGCGAGCATTGCCATGGACATAAAGATGCTCATAAGAAAAGTTTACCTAATGCTGGAGATTCTGCTCGAGAAGGAATGTCATCACATCCTGGTGAACTTTTTATAATAAATAAAATATATATTCATTAATTTATTTTTGTCTTATTATATTATTCTTTTACAGAACCAATTGCAACAGGTTCAACATAGATATTTATATGCTTATTGACAATATTTCCTAAATATAATATTTAGGAAATAATTCCTTTATGCTAATTCTTAAGTCAGTGTCATACAGAAAATTATGCTGGATTATAGTAGGTAAGTAATTGTAATATAATTTGTAAAATGTGTGTGTGATCAAAATGTTATATAACATATATATGAATGAAATAATGTCATATGTTGTCCTTTAGGTATGCAAACTTTAAAGTATGATTTTGCACTATAGTACATGTGGCATTTGTATTACAATGCTTTAACAACACTGCACGGAAGATTATATTTGTATTACAATGCTTTAACAATACTGCACGGAAGATTATAAAATGTTGGTCAAACTGTTAATTACTATATAAATCATGATGAATCACATTGAAATAGTAAATTATTGAATAATCTTTGGAAAATAATCATTCCTTATTTTATATTTGAATTAATATTATTGTTTTGATATGTACTATATGCTATTTACTAGGTATATATTTACTATTTAATACAGCTAGATTTTTTTGTTGAAAAAATTTATATATATTTGTTAATTTGGGACTTTTATTAACATTCAATTTAATTACATTAATTCACATATTTCATGGTCATAAAATCAAGTTTGGAATTATGTTTTAATATGTAGGAAGATTAGGAATACATCAAAATTTCATATTTGTGGGATTTTTATTACATTCTGTTTATAACGTTAATATCTTCTGCAGTTGCACAGCATATAATCTCAAAAAATAAAATATCATATTACCTATATGATAAAAAAAGAAATGTAATATATATTCACATTTGTTCACATTGTGTAATGTGATTCTACTGTTTAGTATAAGTATAAATAAGTAAAAAATTTATAAATTTCCAAAATATAAATAGAAAAGTATATCAGATGTGATCTCATACATATGACTAAGATCATATCCATAAAAATCTGAATATATTCATTGAAAGTCTCAATTTTCCAATTTTGAAAGTTGCAATTGTCGTTGAAAGTTCCAATTTTGCAATTTTATCAGAAGATAAATTCCAAAAACAGTTTCACATATAGGCCATATGAATAAATTTTAAGCTGTCGATTAAAAAATAGATAATAATCTTCAATTAAATAATATAATTTAGAAATGTTTTGCTAGACATTTTCTAATTTTGCCTTATAACAATAAACGCGATAACAATATATTTCTTTATGATATCCGTTCTTTTAACAACATTTTTAATCATCTTTTGTCAAATAACACTCATTTATTGAGTGATATTCTATTAATAATTTATTACTATAAGAAATGAAAGTCTGCACGTGCATTTGCATATTTCAGATAATCAAAAAATAGATTCTGATTATTTGTGCTTTTACATCATAATGATATTCTAATAGACGGTTTTGTATAGTACAAACTTAAGTGCAAAATATATCTCTATAAGATCTTGTAAAAATAAATGTTTAAATCGGAAATTTAATAGTTTTTAGTCAATCAATGTTATTACTGCTTCTCTGAAATCTGCGCCTCTTTCGTACCTCCATTCCTTTGCGAAAGGTATTTTCATCTAAACCTAAGGCCTTCACCATAGCCCGACTTCGCCATATTTTCACCGTATAATCATCACTAGTTGTAACTAACATTTCAGGATCGCGTGGATTAAAAGCTACGGAATTGACTACATCACTGTGAGGAAACTTTGCTAAACAGATTCCATAATGTCTATCCCACAAATAACCATGCTTATCTTCTGCACCACTGCAAAAAATGACATTTCATAATAAATATTGTATATTTTTAAAAAATACAGGATGTACTAAATCGAACTAATAAAGCGCAATCGGATTATTACCTTGCTACGTATTCATTACATACATCCAGAAATATAAAGAAACATTCATTATTAGGCGTATATGCTTTGTGTGCCCTTAACATTGTACCGACTTGTTTTAAAGTCACCAAATCGATCACATGTATATCAATTTCTTGAGCTATCGGCGGTGGTTGTAACGGATTAGTAATAACATAACCTTTCGGCCATGGCCTTGTATTTACATAAAGGTATCTGGAAATATATGTATATAATTAGTTATTTGTATTTCAAATATATTCACTTACGTGACGACATTGATAATTGACCTATGATCAGGAGAAAGTCCCATTCCAATAATATGACCGTGAAGATCAATGAGGTGATCTATTTTATCGAATTTATCTGCCACAGATTCATAATTTAGCCAGTCTTCCACTGACGGAGTATTCTCCCGCTCTCTTTCCCGCTGTGCTATCCTTTCGCGTAGCGATGGTCCTGGATCCAATCTTCTTGGAAAACTGACTAACTTAATCCTTTTAAAACCAACTTTATGCGGAGTATATGTCTTTGAACCAGTTGTGAAAATAAGAAACTTTTCAGGATTATTGGCCAACTCGTCTGTATCACACTCTTCGATTATTGACGATTCTGCAAACCCATTCTTCATGTCTTAATCTAATAATTATAATTTTTTTTTTCTTTATATTATTTTATATTCATTAATTTTGTTACCTCCAGATTCGCTTTCTTCTTCCCACTGCGGATTCTCACTTTCGCTATCACTTTCATGCGTCTTTTTCTGCATCTCAACCTGTCTATATTCCTGATTGTATTGTATAGGACTAGCATATTCAAAACCATCACCGAGTTTTCTCCAATTCGAAAATCCACCTTCTAATTTACTATATCTATTATGTATATATATATATATATATATATATATATATATATATATATATATATATATATATATATATATATATATATATATATATATA